TAAGAGGTTTATCTAAAAGATTCGCGATATAACTAGGAAGACCTTTCAAATACCACACATGAGTCACGGGACATGCGAGTTTGATGTATCCCATTTGATATCTTCGTATCCGAGAATCCACAAATTCTACCCCGCATTTTTGGCAAAATCTTTCGTCTTCGTTTTCAGCTCCGCTCGCTCGAGAATTGCCACAAGCGCAAATCCCGCTTTTTATGGGTCCAACACAGATGGGACACATCCCATCGCCCGAGCCGATGCTTGAGGACTTCAACCCCAGAGGGCAGGCGTCCATGAATCCATTGCCACAGGAAAATTCTGATCTTCAGAGGTAGGCGGATGTCCCAGGTCAGGCTAAAGGGCTCCGGGGCTGCCGAGGGCGCAATGATGGCATACAAGGACTTCGTGGAGAAGCGGCCAGACGGCTCAAGGCGCCAGGAAAGGGCATCCAGGTCCTCCTCGACGTTCATCGGCATAAGGGCGATGTCTTGTAGGAGGGAGTCCCAAGCAGCCACCTCGAGGGGGCCGAAGGGGCGTCGGAAAGTGAGACGCCATAAGTCAATAAGGGTCGTCTCGATAGAGACCCGAGGGTCGGCCGCAATGGCAAAGAGTTTTGGGAATCACGCAGCCAGGGGGGAGTCCCCTAACCAGCGGTCGAACCAGAACAGGGTCGAGGACCCGGATCCAATTGAGATGGACGTGCCGATGCGAAGGACTGGCAGAAGCTGGATCACGGACTGCCAGAACTAGGATCCACCCGTACGCTGGCAAAAGGCAAGAGGCTGGCCCCGAAGATACTTATTACAGATGATGGTAAGCCAGAGGCCTCCCTCCCCATTGGCGATACGCCACAGCCAACGGGTCAGGAGAGCAATGTTCATGCACTGAGATGACAAGATCCCAAGGCCACCCTGGTCTTTGGGTTTGTAAATGTCGAGCCAGCTCACCATATGGTACTTCTGCTTGTCGCCCTCACCAGCCCAAAAAACCCTCGGCTGGTATTTGGCAACCTCCTGATGGAGGGTCTCATGGAGACCGTAGAAGTTCATGAGAAACCAGAGAAGGCTAACAAGCAAAGAGTTGATTAGGATTACCCTGGCTGCTTTCGATTAACACCTCCCCCTCCAGGGTTCAACCCGGTGTTGCATCCTAGTCACCGTTGGGCGGAGATCAGCAACGGTGAGCCTGGAATCACTAATGGGTATCCCCAAGTAAGTCGTGGGGAAGGAACCCAGGCGGCAGTTCAACCGGTCCGCAATGGATAAAGCCTCCTCCGAAGGATAGCCAAGGACCATCACTTCGCTCTTATCGAAGTTGATGGTGAGCCCAGACATCTGTTGGAAACACAGGAGGAGGAACTTCAGGTTGGCGATGTCGGACGCGGAGCCCTCTACCATAACTATGGTGTCGTCCGCATATTGGAGGAGGGAGACCCCTCCCCCACCCACTAGGTGGGGGACTACGCCGCGGATATGGCCGGAAGCTTTGGCCTTATCAAGGATGACCGCGAGGGCATCGACAACCATGTTGAACAGAAACGGGGAGAACGGGTCACCCTGGCGGACCCCAGGTAAGGTGGGGAAGTAAGGCCCGATCTCACCGTTGATGTTGACCGCCGTCCGACCGCAGGTGACGAGTTGCATAATGCGGGTCACCCAGCGGTCGTCGAAGCCCTTTCGAAGCAAAACTTCCCAAAGGAAGGGCCAATGGACAGTGTCGTAGGCTTTGTGAAAGTCGAGCTTTAGGAAGACCGCGCGGTGGTTCTTGGCTCGGACTTCATGGAGGACTTCGTGAAAGACCTGCACCATCCAAAATAAACCGGCCTTGGATGAAGGCGGATTGGTTGGGGTAGGTGATAGAGTCCGCTAGAAGGGCCTTGGATGAAGGCGGATTGGTCTGTTTTCAAGACAAACAAAATACAGATGCAGGGTCCGAATGTAAATTCAGAACTAGCCAGAATGATCTGGCCCTTACATCATGTCTCTCAACTAGACTTGACCTATCATAAGGACTAAAAAGCATCGGTCTTCAAAAGTAAAATCCTTGCCAGCCTTCGATCGAACAGCATTGGGCACATGCAACATCTTGCCTACGCTTGTAGTTAGAGAAGACATGCCATTTCTGGTAGTGGTATAGACACGCCATGCCAGTGTATTCTCTTGATTTCCTGAACAGCATCATCAAGATCGAAGAGGTTGTTATTCTACTGATGGTCGGTATTAGTGGCTCTGTATTATTCAACTTCTTTCATACACCTGTATCACCAAGGCATAAGTGTTCTTGGTCGAGCAAATTCCCGCTGATGAGTGTTTCCATCATAGTTTTCATCCATCTTCCTGCGCATATGTGGCTTGAACCTGCACAATGCCCCCATAGCATGTGTAAGTAGGAATCGATTAAAAAGATCTACTATTATGGAGTGTAGTATTTCGATGAACAACACGACATTCAAATATTTACTAGACACATATCCAATCTTTTGTCAGTGCTGAAATTCTTAGTCCAAGTACAAGGAGGCTGTTTTACAAGATCGCAGAAGATATGAATTGTGTAAACCCACGTCAAAGCAACCACGTTATTTCATAAGCAGCAGTACTTTTTCACTGGCCTGCACTATGAGATTCAGATGTCCCATACAAATGTCTGGTCGAACCAAACTATCATTCACGAGAAATGATCGTTCAAATCATTAGTTGTGATCCCTGTAGATTTTAATTTTAATGTTTGACTGTCGTGGCCCCTTGTTCAACCTCAACATGAGATCAAATTCATAGCTGCCTAGGCGCCTTGGAATCTGGCCCCTAGAATTTTTTTCCTTTTTTTTGGCAGACTGCGCCAACTTGAAATTGTAGTGGAATATTGGATCCCCAATGAGCATGAGATGGCGTGATGGCTGCCGCTTCAGGGTTCTGCAATTCCTTCTCACCGATGGTACTCGTGCTCCGCCAAAACAGATTCTTCTCTACTATTAAAGATATCGTTATACACTGAGTGCATCGATGATTGTGAAGGTGATACTCGGAATTGCATAAAGGTAGTTTCTAGACTAGTTTGCAGGGAAAACATTTGGAGTTGTGCCACCAGTTTCGCAAGTGTTTATGCTCATGTTTTATATCGCCAGTTTTGGCGCTTTTCAGACTTATTTTTTTTCGACTTCTGCTCAGTAGTTTATGAGCTATTTCAGACCTTAAGACTTTGTTACATTTTTATTTAATAATATGCCTGCATGCATCAATTGATGCAGAGGCCGAGGTCATCCTCCTTTTCAAAAAAAATGCTGCAATTTTGCCGACATGCATACTTCTGTTTTTATTTTTAACCAAGACATGCACATGCCTTGCAGGGAGCATAAAATTGCATCGTATACAAGGAGAACAAATGTACACCAGCTAAAAAAATAGTGAATTAGCACGGGTAGGCGTACCTACATAAGATGCCGACCACAGTAACTCGTCCGAAATGCTTGCCAAAGCATGAAAGAACCGTATTAAGTAGCCCAGGAGCAAGAGTGTAATTTACATAAAATCTTCAGTTATCTTCAACCATGGACAGGGAGGGGAAATAACAAGTACTCTCATCCTTGGAGTGCTCCCCATGCTCCAACTTCAAAAGATTCAATTTTAAATGTTTCAAAAAATTATAGAAAAATATATGAATGTTTACAAGGAATGCGACTACAACTCCTAAAAAATTCAGGTCCAAACTCTAAATGTACATTGAGAAAAAAAAGTGAAATCTAGCATGAATAGTGTCATAAAAAGACAAAAGCAACATTTGACACTATTCACATCTGAATTTGTCTTCTTTGTTTCTGAATGTACATTTTGAGTTTGAACCTGAAATTTTTAGGAGGTGTAGTCACATTCCTTATGAACATTCACATTTATTTTCAGAATTTTTGAAACATTTAAAAATTCATGTTTTACACTTGGAGTATAGGAAGCACCCCAAGGATGGGAGCACCTGATATTTCCCCTGGACAGGGATTAGCAATTCCACTGACAACATGTGCCGATAATACTTAGAAAATGATGTCACGTTCAATGTCTAGTTAATGAAGAACATCCCAATTAAATAAATGATCCAGGGACAGTGAAAGCATCAGAAATACATAGTATATCATACTGAAGAGAATAATAGACCATTCTACTCGATGGTTACTACGTGGCTTGAACTTTCAGTTTTTTTTCCCGAGAGTACGCAAATCATA